GACATGGTAGTCCGTTCCGCATGATAATGCGATGAATCAGAACTTGCATGGAGTTGCATTGTGACAATTGTTGATAATCTAAGTTTTGGTGGACGCCAAAAGTGATTATGATACATTGTTGAGGTATTCGATTGAGATATCCGGTTATGCGAATATACGAGATACATATGTTGGTTTATGATGCTTTACTTTCCAGTTATATTTTGATTGCTTAATTCGGGATTAATATTTAGTTATCTACAACTTGAGACATACGGTATATACATGAGGGTTTCCTTGTTTGAATTATTTCGCTCGACGTACTACGTCTCATGTTATAGATTTCTAAGTATTACTACCATCAGATACGGAAAAATGGTCTAGGTAGACTATGCTTAATAGATAGAGCCTTCACTACATCTAGTAGCCCTTCCCGGGGGGATGGAGGTAATCTTGCTAGCGCTCTGACGCTCTTGTTGTTATTTTTTTTCTTTTTTTTACTTTAACTTTCAGGCGGATCAGAGCATCGGAGAGTTGCAAGGTGACAGAGTTCTTGCATAGTCGTCGTCGCGTATTTTTACTAGTGTGGACTCCACAGTAGTCTTATGTTTCCCTTCAGTCATTTGAGTTTGTACTCATATTATTAAGGCATGTTGCCTTAGTACGATTTCTAGTTGATCCATGTTGAGACATGTCATGTTATTTCAGACTCCAGATGTATATCAGTTGTATTTCAGTTTAGTTTATTTGGAACATGATTTTATTATGAGATATTTCTTTCTACATCATGTCTATTGTATTTTTTTTCCATTATTTGCTTGTTTTGTCCTTCACTTCTACTTGATTCCACTAAAGGATATTACTGTTATTGGTGAAACATGTTGTTGCACAGTGGAGGTGCATGGCAGGTTTGACATCTATGTGTTCACCTTGGACTGCAGCCATGCGTGAAAACAAGGGCGTCACATGGCGGCTCTGACGTGGTTCGATGAGTTGTAAAGACTATCGGGGCTAGAGGTATGATGCGGCTGCCAAACATTAAATGTAAGGCCGATGTGGTGTAAGTGGGAGAGGCTCGTGGCTGAAGTCGTGATATAGCTTCACCGAGAAGTAATGTCTTTCAAGTCGACCTCATGATGCGTCGAATAACTGGTCGAGTAGGCTCGTTGCGAGTCGTCTTCGACAAGAGGATCTATAAGTACCGCTTTTCATGTCGACATAAGGAGATGTCAACTCGACGCGTCGACTACGTCGGGATCCTTGGTTGTTTTGACCGTCAATCTGACTTGAGCGGTGCATGCAGGAGGACACATATCCGTTACCGACAAAAGTTATGCGGCAACACTGTCTACATACTTAAAGATTAAAATTAAGATAAGTTTAGGCAATATTAGAAATTATTTATTATTTTGTTTGTTATAATTTATCAATTGTTAACCTACAAAAAACTAAATCAATTATTGATATGAAATTTTTAAAATTGAGTGATGACATACTATTTTTAATTATGTACTTTGTTTATTATTATTTAAATTATGTATTTAAACTAAATCAATTATTGATAAGAAATTTTTAAAATTGAGTGACTAACATACTATTTTTAATTATTTATTTTGTTTATTATTATTTAAAATATATATTTATAAAATTATAAAGATAATTTAGTTTCTTAATTTCTAATTTATAATTTGGATATTTTTTATTTTTAAAATATTTGTTAAAATATATGTTAATTTTCTAAAATAGTTTTGCATTTAAATTTGTTTCCAAAACTATAAATTTAATAAAAATTTTATTTTTTTCTATTTGTGAAAATTTATTTGCATACCAAAAAAATTGTTTTAAAAAATAAAATTAATTTTAGTAAAACGTGAATTAAATAATTAAAAGTTTAATAAATTTAAAATTACCAAATTAATCTTGCCTAATATAAGTTACAGATTATAACTGCCAAATCTT